AACCACGCTCAAGTATAGCACTGCATTCCACCCACAGACCGATGGACAAACAGAGAAGATGAACGATACACTCCAAAGAATCCTGCGTGCCTACAACAACGTCGTCTGCCCTTCCACCGGCATGTCCCCATTCTACCTCAACCTTGGCTACCTCCCTCGCTTGCCCTTTGACTTCTTGCTCCCTTCGCAGCTTAACCCATCCAACCCCTGACCCTCTCTCAAGGAATGGGTAGCAACAATGAACAAACTCCTGAGAGAAGCCTCCGAAGTCGTTGAACGAACCCAAGAACAACAAGCCAACAAGACCAACAAACATAGACGCGACGTGTCATTCAAAGTAGGGGACAAAGTCTGGCTCTCCTCCAAACGCTTTGAACCGGAACACGGCTTGTCCAAGAAACTCTCCAACAAATGGCTCGGTCCCTTCCCCATTATTGAACAAACCTCCACAGTCAACTACAAACTTCAACTTCCCCCTGACATGAGTCGTGTCCACCCAATCTTCCATGTCGAGTACCTAAAAGAATACCATGAATCCCCGCCCCAGTTCGTCGACCGCCCATATCCTAGACCTCCACCAATCATGCTACCCACAAGCCCTGAATTCGTTGTCGAAACCATCACCGGCCGACGAACCATTCAGGTATTTGATCAACCTGCTACAACCTCGCAACCCTGCTCTACACACACCCTTGACCCAGTCCACCCTTCACTTGACCTTCATCGTCTGATCTGCCCTTGCCCTCGCCTAGCCTTGTCCCATCTATCCTCTCCACTACCTTGTCTCTCTTGTCCAATGCTTGTGAACCTGCTTGATGCCGGCGATAAAGGATCTAATGGCAAGCGCACGAGGACGATGGCCTGCTGCCTCACTGTTCATGGAGATTATGCAGCTGGTTTGGCCACCATGCTGTTCCATCGGCCGGCATCACGACTCGCAGACTTACTGGAGCAGCAACTTGTGACATGGATCTGTGCATCAGTCTGCAACTTCCTTGCTTCCAAATCAGACCTCGTTGCAGTTCGTGTACCGGACGCACCCTAGCACTTGGACTTTGACACTTGAACTACTACGCTTCTTGGACTTCGACCTATCGCAGCCGCTGAAGTCCGCTTCTACCACCTACTACTTCAAAGGCCTGATCAAGACCGTTGCAACCCCCCGTTCAAGACACTTGGACACTTTGTTCCTACATGAGATTCTGCTTCCGACTCCTTCGGACACACCAGCCCTTCAATCCTGAACAAACACTTTCATTTTTATTTTTCCTTACTTTCACAACCCTGTAGAACATCATTAGCAGATCCCTGTTTCCCTAACCATTGTTCCCCGTACCCACTAGAACATCAATAGACATCCCCTGTTCCCCTGACCATTGTTTCCCTTACCCACTACAACATCAATAGAAATACCCTGTTTTCCAGAACACCGTTTCCCTTACCTAGTAGAACATCAATAGAAGTTCCCTGTTCCCTGAACCATGTTCCCCCTTAACCTATAGCAAACCATGCAGTCCCCTTAGTTCATCAGTAGGACTACCCTGCTCCCTATCTTCCCTTTAGTTCATTTGTAGGACTACCCTGTTCCTTGCAACCCCCCCTAGTTCATCAGTAGGACAACCCTGTTCACCGGAGCACAACCCTGTTCACCGGTACCAAACCCTGTTCCCTCTTACTCCCGCAGCCCATGCCACCCACATTATACCCCTCTTCCCTTTCGACTTGTTAACCAGTGATCGGCCCCGTCCCGTCCTTCACAGATTTCAGCATTGCTTCATGATTTTTGGCAGTCGGGACGTTGTCTTCTAGAGGGAGGGGATAGTGTTACGGACTCCGCCAGGGCACGATCCCTGGTCTATCTTTTTGCTGTTTCGGCTGCATCCCGTTTTCGGCCTGGCACCCTTTTTCCAAACCCCTCCTTTGGTACCGTAGGATTTTGGACAATTGGCACCATGCTGCAATTCGGGCGCCACTTTCAAATGCCACAATTTTCAGTTCTGCCCTCGGGGCCTTGCAGAAATGCCCCTGGTACCCCTGGTACCGTACGTGTCACCGGTACTTATACCGGCTCCCCGTACGGTACGGGGACCAGTCTCGTACCAGTTTCCAGCTGCTGTACTCGTAATCCGTGTGACTTGCTGTTTTCGGCATTTGGGAATCCAAGACTTCGACTTTGTGCCCTTGCCACTGTCTGCGTCCGACCCTCAGTCGTGTCAAGTGAGTGTGTGTGTGTGTGTGCTCTCACTCTCTCCCTCTTTCCCTCTCTCTCTCCTCTCCCTCGACTCTCCCTCAGCCTCGTGTGCGTTACACTACCAGAAGCTTTTGGGTTGAGGCCCAGGCCAGCTAGGCTGCGAACGCAGACACACTCTTTCCATTTAGGAAACAGCTCGCTGCCTGGAGTCTCATTCAGGCACTTGTTGGTGCTGGAGCTTTTGCTCGCGTGTTGGCTGCTAGCGCTGGAGCAAGGTGTTGTGCACGTCGTGCGGTGTTGTGTGGAAGCAGGGCGCTGCTGAGGGCAGTGCCATAGCGCAGCCTCCATAGCTGGCTGAGGGCTTGGACATACAGTGAGGCGCAGAGATGGTCTTCGGGTGTACAGAGGGAAGACGTGGTGCAAATCAGGGGAAAGAGCGAAGGATGATGATGATGGTGATGTGAGGACACATACCTGGTATTGGCGATGGTCTGCATTGGGCGACATCTTCAAGTACTTCGTGGGCTGCTGACGTCAACTGTTGCATTGTAAATTAGTAGGCAGGCGGTAGCTGTGTAGGAAGTAGGCTGGGCGCCGAGCGCCAAGTAGGGAGAAGGGCCTGGACACTCATGTTGGTGATGGTGAGAGTAAGCTCTCATTGACATTGGTTTTCAGTGTTACGATTCTTCATTGGTGTTATATTGGTGCAATTCTGCTTTCTGGACATTGTGATACTATCTGGCCTTCAATGTGATTGTGCATTATGATTACTGTCATCTCGCTATTGCTCATTTTCCTTGCAATTTGGTATCAGAGCTGGTTCGAACTACGTTTCATTGATTCTTCGCAATAGCTGTTTGATGCTTCGCATGAGGTGTGGGGCAGTAATAAGGCTTGGGCGTTGAATGATAGGCGGCCCAGAGTCGTGTAGGCGTGCCAGGAAGCTATGTGGTGACATTAGGGGTGTACGCTGGATGATGAGAACTCGCTGATGTGGCATTTAAGCCGAGGTGGAACTGCATTCTGCTGTTGGTTGTGCCGAGGCAAAGACCGATCATCATAAATGCACATCAAGTTGTCAGTGAGAAAATTTGTGGTTGTGGGCAGCATTATGAGGTACGTTGCTCTCTTCCTTATCTACCCTCTACCGTGAGGAAGTGAGTTTTGTCTTGAGAGTCCTCTCACTGTGAGGTGTCGCGAGCGCTCAACCTTGAGAGTCGACATTCTTCCTCGGCAACAAGCTGGTGGGAGGGGGCTGAAGCCTCTGAAGGGCCCTGGACGAAGCACTCGGGTCACGATCACCATGCCAACCCGTTGGGACTAGTCCTTGGTTCTACTGCTGCACAATAGAGGTCAGGCAGGGCATGCCAACCCTTTGAACAGACGCTTACCAGACCGTCTTTAAATATTTCTGGCGGGTTCCAGCGTTGAACCCTCGCTATGATCGTCGTCCTGT